CTGGCCACCCACCCCCTCGCGTGCCGTGCCTGCCTTCGTAGATGCTCGCTAACAGCACATGCCCCAACAGTCTGTTAAGGTTACACGGGGGATCTTTGTCTTTGTGTGCTGCGGAGCGGTGGTGCAATGGTTGTCGCGCTGCGCCGCGAACCCGGCGAGCCGAGTCCGATTCCCGCTCACGACCACCAACCCCCCAGTGACCAGTCCTGGACCTCCCCGAGGTCGACTCAGCCTCAACTCAGTTTACCACAGCACTTGCGACCACACCCTCGAACAGCCAACGCAACAGGCGTGATTATTCGCACTCCACACACATCACACCCCACATATAGGGTGTGTGGCCGCCCATCTGGTAAACCGTTTTCCGAATCGGTTACCGGTTCAGACAGTGAGGATTCCGGTGTTAAAACGAAAAGTGCTCGCTGACGAGCGCGTCGATTTGATTGTTTGTTGTTATCGTTGTTGTTGTTACGACAAACCGGGAACGTGCGCTTGGTTCCAATATAGCGATCCGTATTTGGCCTACTTTTTCACGCAGACAGGAGGCGTTGCAAGAGGCGAGGGGGGAGGGGAGAGACTTCACCCCACAGCGCACGGCACCACGGTTCAATTGCTCGGCATGTCTCTTATGTTATGCAAAACCGGTAACCGTTTTATTTCATTTGGTTATTATTCAGACGATTTTGTTTTTGTGAAATGATGTGAACAACCCCGATAGAGGACATACACACAACGAAGATCCCCCGTATAGCCTTAACAGACTGTAGGTAGCAAGTGCTGTTAGCGAGCACCTATAGTTCCATTTTCATAGTTCCATTTATTTGGTAAAGCCCTGTGAGCCATTCGGCTCATGAATCGGGTGCAACCGCGACAAACAAAAACAAAAAAATGAACAAGAAAACATCTTAAAGTGACTATGTGACTGTGCAAACAGAAAATCCAGGAAAAAACCATCAAAATATTCCTGAAAAAGCACCGTACACCAACGCTGTGTGCAAAAATCCCAGTGGGATGCAAGTCAAATAACAACAACAACCACAAGATAACTAAGATTAAGGCCATCAGTCTAACTCCGTACTACAATAAACAAAAACATGGCCAAACCAAAAAGCGTTTTCGAAATCAGCAAAATAAAGCTATAAATGCAATGTAACAGTGATCATCGGGACTGTGACCGAATTTTTTACAATAAACTACATAAATAACATGTACCACCAAACCCTGTAGCCATAGCTGGCTGCATGAGTCACTCCACAACAACAGGAACATCAGTCGGAGTATCACATTTTTCAATGCACCTTTAAGATCAGCACACTAAATCAAAATACAGTTAATACTTTGCAGCGGTCATCCTGAGCGAAACATTTTATTTTATTTTCGGCCACTGAATAGCAGTGGCAGCTAGGGGTGTACAACTCCTCTAGAGCAGTTTTGAGTGCAATTTATTGGCAATAGCATTCCAGACCCTGGGTGGGGCATCAATAGCAAAGGCCCTTCCTCCAGTTTTTGTGCGGCAATAGGGAATGTGAAGCTGGTAAATGAGCAAAGACCTGAGGTCAAATTTGTTCTTTGAAACAGAGAGGAGATCCAGCAGGTAGTCTGCGGATTTTTTTGCAAGTACATCGTGAAAAAAATAAAGATCTGGTGCACAAGCCATCGAACATTAAGATATGTTAAGTTTGACCCAATGTAGAGATCACAGTGGTGAGTCCTATATGGGCAGTTCAATGTAAAAATCTTAAGGCCGAGTGATAGATGGAATCAAGCTTCTTCAGTACATTTCTTGGGGCTGATTTATACACGATATCACAGTAATCAATTAGAGGCAGTATAGTAGCTTTTATCAATTCCAAACGGAACATAGGAGGGAAGCAGTGCTTGTGTCGATACAGAAAACCAATTTTTATTTTTGTCTTTTAACCAATATAGTCAATGTGATCTTAAAAATTCAGTTTTGAATCCAGGATGACCCCAAGATACTTATAGATCTTGACTTGCTCTATTTGATAATTATCAAGGAATGTAATTGGGGGAAAATAACTTCCTGCTTTAGTCCCGGTGAGAAGCATAGCACCTTGGTTTTGGAGATATTCAGGACTAGTTTAAGAGCAACTAGCTGATGTTGTAGTTTGTCGAAATCACCCTGGAGCTGAGCAATCATGTCATCCGGAGAGCGGTCAGCAGTAATCAGTATCGTGTCATCTGAAAAAAGATTTTACCTGGAATGATCCAGGTCAGTGCCTAAGTCATTGACATAAAGAGAGAACAAAAGGGGGCCGATGATGGAACCCTGTGGAACTCCTTTTGTTATCTTAACACTGTTTCACCTCCAACCATCTATGAATACAGTTTGGGTGCGAGAAAAGAGGTATTTTTTAAACCATTTTACTGTGTTTTCGGAAAAACCGAGGCAACTTAGTTTACTAAGCAGGGTGTTGTGGTCTATTATATCAAAAGCTTTGGACAGTTCAAGAAAAAGACAGGCACAGTACTGCTTATTATCAAGGCTACTGTAAATTTGATTCAGAGAGTCTAATGCAGCAGATGTGCTGTATTTTTTTCGGAACCCAGATTGTTTTAGGTGTAGTAGATTGTTGGTGGACAGGAAATTGCTAATTTGGTAGTAGATTGTTGGTGGACAGGAAACTGCTAATTTGGTAGTAGATTGTTGGTGGACAGGAAACTGCTAATTTGGTAGTTCAATAATTTTTCAAAAATTTTCATCAATGGGGACAAAATTGAGATAGGTCGGTAGTTATTGGGATCATCTTTAGGGCCCTCTTTGTGAAGTGGACGGACATAGGAATGTTTCCACTCTAGAGGAACTGATGCTTCTTTGATGAACAGGTTGAAAATATGGGCTATAGGTTTGTATATTAAGTGACCAACAGTTAGTAGAGTAAAGACAGGAAAACTATCTGCTCTGGTAGAGGAAGACCCTTTGAGGTAGGACAGTTGTTTCAGAACATTACTTTCGTGGATTGGCTGGAAACTAAATTCGTTTAATGTTTGGACAGGGCTGTAGGAATTTGCATGAGCAGGGGTGACTCCCAATGCATTATCAAAAAGATTACCAGCTTCAGAAAAATGAAGGTTAAAATTGTCAACTATTTTTTGGGGATCTGTAAAATATTCCCCATTTCGGTTAAGCTCAACGGGCAGATTGTCTGTTTTGGATGCCTTTTCTATACATTTGATTGTTTTCCAAAAAATCCTGGCATTTCCATGTGATTCCAGGAGAGTGGAGGAAAAGTAGGCATTTTTTGCATGCCGTAATTTTATGACGCATCTATTCCTTAAAATCCTGTATTCTAGCCAGTCATTTACCAAATTACTTTTCTGAGCACATGCCCAAGCCTTGTCCCTAGTTTTCATGAGCTTTGTAATCAAAGGATCATACCATGGTGGGCGGTTGCCTTTAGTTTTAAATCTAACCAACGGAGCATGTTTGTTAAGAATTTGGAGAAACGTGTACCTGAAAGTCTCCCAAGCCGTAGTCAGGTTGGGGATATCACAGACCTTGTCAATACCCGAGTGAAGCACATCATTAGTAAATGCCTGAGTGCTGAAGTGTCTCATAGAGTGCTTCTCAACAATTTTAGGGGGGGCTTTGGGCTGGCTGATGATCTCACCCCAAAAATGAAGGAGTGATCACTAAGGTTATTACCCAGAACACCAGTCAGTGCGAAATTGTGAGGGGCATTTGTCAATAGGACGTCAAGCAGAGATGACTGTCCCGGATTTTTAGGTTGGGTCTTGTGGGGACATTTATTAATTGAAACAGGTTAAATTCATCTGTAAAATTTGTGGCCACGGCCGGCGGGTTTAGCCAATTCCAATTTAGATCACCCACTAAAACTATTTCACCTTTAGGGAGGCCCCCAAAAAGCTCTCTTAGTGCAGATTCAGCTTCAACATCCTTCCCACTAGGCGGTCTATAGCAGCACACTACCAATATCTGTTGATTATTTGGGAGAGTTATTCTGAGAGCCAAACCTTCAAAGCAACATTTTTTTAAACAAGGAGTGAGCTGGTGAACATGCAATAGTATTATAGATGGCAATTCCACCTTTTTTAGATCCTTGGTCAAGCCGAAAAAGTTGTAGTTGTCAATCGTAATCTGCAAGTCATTGACGGCAGGAGTGAGAAATGTTTCTGTTAGGCTAAAAATGTCCGGGTCAAGATTTGCCACTTCTAGTTTTAGTTGACTTAATTTAATCACAAGCCCTCTGATGTTGACATGTAGAACACCAACACCTTTTCTGCCAGAAAAATCGACAGAATTAGACGAGTTCTTTACATTTGGGCCAGGATGAAGCTCAATACCACCCAGAAATAAGAAAAGTAGAATTAAGTTTGCACAAGTATTTCCTGTGAAAGGATGAAGAGCGGCGACACGTGCACACAAACAAATACGTGTATACACACACGTGTTTACACACACACACGTGTATACACACACGTGTTTACACACACGTGTCTACACACACACACGTGTTTACACACACACGTGTTTATACACACACACGTGTTTACACACACGTGTTTACACACACACGTGTATACACACACGTGTTTATACACACACGTGTTTACACACACGTGTACATGCACACGTGTATACAAAAGACAACGACAAAGATCCCCCGTATAGCCTTCACAGACTGTAGTGGCAAGTGCTGTTAGCGAGCACCTATGAAGGCCTGAACGGTACACGAGGGGGTGGGTGGCCAGCACCACGCCCGACCGCCTTTGTCTCCCCAGTGGCGATGTTTTTACGCACCGCACCACGTACTCATTTGAGGCCGAGTCGACCTAGGGGAGGCCCATGACCGGTTCAGATAATCGTCACATGGTAGTGGCCGTGAGCGGGAATCGAACCCGGGGTATCCGGGTTCATAGCGCAGCGTGGCGCTAACCACTAGACCACCGCTCCCCCCCCCACACACACAGGTGTGTGTGTACACGTGTACACACACACACACGTGTACACACACACGCCCTCGCCACACCCAATGCGACTCCTATTTAACCTCGAGCTCTTCCCTGGATCTCCATCTGCAAGTGACCATCAGTCATCTCTGTGCACCATCGTAAAGCGTCCCAACCACACCTGCACCATGGTAAGCCAGGCGGGCGTCGCGAGCGCTGTTCACAATCGATCTCGATTTGAAGGTTTCGTGACTGAAAGGAATCCATACTCTTTGGTTATTTCGGTAAAGTCATCACGTGGGTAGAAGTAAAATAAAATCGCCCGTGATTTTTTTAAATTTTTACTTTATACCGACGTTACTTTGTTAACAATCCTCACCGATGTTTTTACTCCGGACGGGGGAAAGCATTCATAGAGATTGATTGTCGTTGCACAGTAAGACTGTGTACTACCACTGTGATCAACCACTGTGTACAACCACTGTGTATTACCACTGTGTACTAGTACTGTGTACTACTTCTGCTGTGTAATACTACCGTGTACTGCTACTGCTTACCACTGTGTACTCCTACTCCTGTGTACTACTCCTGTGTACGACCACTCACCGTCATCACATGAACCAACATTTCCCAGCGTTGTGCGCACGATGCCCTGGTGTACGCGATGCACGTTCGTGCCTTGAACTTCTTTCCCACCGTGCGATGATACCGACGATGGGCAGTAACGGAACGATGTCAAAGTTCGCCACCACGGTGGTGATCAAGTGGATTACAATGATCACGATAAACGAGAGGGAGAGCGGGGGAGGGGGTGAGAGAACACGGTAGCGATGGAGAGGGACAATGATGTTTGATGATGATGATGATGTTGGTGATGTTGGTGATGATGGTGATGTTGGTGATGTTGGTGATGTTGGTGGATATAACGGTGCTGTCTTGTTGCCTCTAGGAAGAAGCTGACCTCCGCAAAGCCTTCAAGGCTATCGACAAGGTAACAACGCTTTCGGTCACTGTCACCACCATCCCGTGCACCACCACCCGCTGCACCATCACCACCACCCCCCTGCACCACCACCACCCCCCTGCACAACCACCACCACCCCGCCCTACACCACCACCACCACCACCCCCCACGTGTGGCGGCGACTGTGAGCTGCGACCTTCCGCTTCACTGAATGCCACGCGGAGTCGTGGAGTTGCGTGGCCTGTGGCTGCTGTGAGGCTGCGTGAATCTCTGTGGGACGCCTGCGGGCAGTGTTCGTGATAGGGGAGCGGCAGTGCCGGATGAAGCTAGTGCGGGACCTGTAGCACATGTTTTTTTTTTTAAAGGGGGCCATGAATAAATAAAAACACCTTAATATTAAAAGACACTTTTTTTCTACTTGCATAGTAAAGTTAATTGTATTTTTTCATTTGCTATACAGCCAGATAATACGACAAATCGCTAACCTTAAACACCCAGTCGTTCATAAAATTTGAAGGCGGTATAGTACTATAGTAATAGAGCAAGTGCAGAATCACCGGAACGGAATTGATACCTCGAAAGCATTTAGCGCGGGGGCCCTCGAAAGTGCGGGGCCCGTAGCTACTACTTATGTAGCTGCTACACTAATACACGTGTAGTAGCTACTACTTATGTAGCTGCTACACTACTACACGTGTAGTAGCTACTACACTACTACACGTGTAGTAGCTACTACACTACTACACGTGTAGTAGCTACTACTTATGTAGCTGCTACACTACTACACGTGTAGTAGCTACTACACTACTACACGTGTAGTAGCTACTACTTATGTAGCTGCTACACTACTACACGTGTAGTAGCTACTACACTACTACACGTGTAGTAGCTACTACACTACTACACGTGTAGTAGCTACTACACTACTACACGTGTAGTAGCTACTACTTATGTAGCTGCTACACTACTACACGTGTAGTAGCTACTACACTACTACACGTGTAGTAGTGTAGTAGCTACTACACGTGTAGTAGCTACTACTTATGTAGCTGCTACACTACTACAAGTGTAGTAGCTACTACACTACTACACATGTAGTAGCTACTACACTACTACACGTGTAGTAGCTACTACACTACTACACGTGTAGTAGTGTAGTAGCTACTACACGTGTAGTAGCTACTACTTATGTAGCTGCTACACTACTACACGTGTAGTAGCTACTACTTATGTAGCTGCTACACTACTACACGTGTAGTAGCTACTACTTATGTAGCTGCTTGTGCTACGAGGATAATCCGGCACTGGCGGTCAGTGTTCATGATAGAATAGCAGTGGCGAGCGCGCTGCGCTACGAACCCCAGTTCGATTCCCGCCCAAGGGCCATCAACCACCGCCAGCGACGATTGTCTGAACCGGTTCTGGGCATCCCCTAGGTCGACTCAGCCTCAAATGAGTAGCCCCCAGTGCGGTGCCGTGGCCGGCCTTCGTAGGTGCCGCTACTCGCGAGCAGCACTTGCCCCGGGAGGCTATACGGGGTGGTGGTGGTGGTGGTGGGTGTGGGTGCGGTCTTCGTGCTGAACGGGCGATCCGGCCGCGCGTGTCCGTGCGCAGGATCAGTCGGGCAAGCTGTCCGCGGTGGAGCTTCAGGAGGCCCTGAAGAGCATCGGCCATGAGATTCCCCTGGACCAGGTGAAGAAGATCGTGGCGTCCATCGACAAGTCCGGCGACGGACAGATAGACATCAACGGTGAGCAGGCCACGCACACCAGAACTTCTCCTCGGCCCGCTGTAACAATGAATAATGATGATCCATAAGAGTTTTTTTTTGGGGGGGGGGGGGTGCGGGGTTAGATCGCGTAAATATATAAATGTGTCGTTAAACCCGCCACCACCCGACACAGCCAGCTAGTAAGGGTTGTCACGTAAACAGAACGTGGTCAATTCGTCACTAGTTCAGAACACCGGTGTGTTGGAGAGCCAAGCCACGGATGACACACACACACAAACAAACCAGGAAAAAAACCCCACCACTTAGCAAATAAACACAAACCACGCAAAAAAATAGATGAATACACAAATAACGAGAGAGGTATAAGAAGAGAATAATATTATTACACGTTGCCCCAATCATCACGGCCCATATCCAGGAGGGATCCAAGTTTTGATGGACATCCGATAGAGAGAACCAAATAAATACATCTTGATAGCTCATCGGTTTCCTCCAGTAGAGACGCAATATTCTGATGCTCAAGCTTTCAAACAAACACGCGTGCTCACGCACAGTAGGCCTATATCGAGTTACAAGGAAGCCGAGAGCTGTCGGCCTTTGTTTTAAATGAAACGATGTTATTATATTTGTCTCGTTGCCAATTGTGTTGTCCGCGTGTACACACGCAAAGATCCACTCTCACCCCGTGTAGCCTTAACCAGACTGTTGGGGGGAGTGCTGTTAAGCGAGTAGCACCTGCGAAGGCCGGCACGGTACACGAGGGGGTGTGGCCAGCATCGCGTCCGGGCCGCCTTTGTCTCCCCAGTAACGATGTTTACACACCGCGCCCCCTCCTTAACCTCCTTCCACTCCTCGCCACCTCTTCTCCATCGCCCATCCTCTGTCTGTCCCCCTCCCCTCGCCCCTCCACCTCTTCCCATCCCTCCCCCCAACCCATTCGTGATCGCTACGCGGCCACCTATTCTTCAATTCTTGCAGTCCGTCCGCGTGCCATCTAAATAATTCTCGTGTCTCGGCTGACCTTTTCTAAACTACGTTAAGCGCCAGCCCTGGGCAATAGGCGCATGTCTCTCAATATGAACATATACATTACAGAATAAGATTTAACAAAACGAAATCCGTCTCACCGATGATCACTGTCGCTCATCCTCCTTCTCGACGCAGAATTCATCGGTGCCTTCAAGAAAAAGTGATCGACGCCATCACCGACACCACCGCCGCCACCACCGCCACCACCGACCACGAGCCCAAGGGACAATTCGGAGTTTTCGTTTCTCAACTTCTCACTTCGGTCAATCAACGACGGCGATCGTCATCCGGACACGCCGTTGATTTTTTTTATTTTCAACAACAACAAAACAATCGATTTGTGTTTCTCCACACTTAAACGATTGTTGATTGATTAGGTTGATGGCACAAATTACGAATAATGATAATAACAAATAATTAAATTGTTTGATTCAAGGAAGCCGCACAAATGTGTACCTTACATTTAAGTGTGGGATTAAGTGAACAACATATATCTGGTGTGTTTCCAGCAGCGCAGTGCTCAGCACCGTGCGTCATGGCCACTATTTTTAATCCCGAGTTTAACTGAAATCGTACGCAACAAACAAACAACGTAAAGCTTTACACGTCCCCGCAAATAATCCCTACCGGGAGATCAACACGGCGCCCTCGCCGGGTTAAAGGTCACTCAAATTTGAACATCTGAGCGGCCTTGCGTGGTGTCCCAGGAGTGGAAAAATAAAAACAACAACAACAACAATCTACATCCTGTGCTGCTACGGCACTGTTGCAATAACAAATAAAGCGGTTGAGGTCGTTTCGAGGTTGGCTGTGCGCGTGTCCGAATACTCCTCGCCTTTTGGTGTCACCACTTGTGGAATAAAGCGAGAGAAAGCCCGCGAGGATCGCGTGGAAATCTGTTTCTTTTGTCTGCAATGAACGGCTCGCAGACGGTGATTGCTCAGAGAGATGGAGCCGTAATGCGTGAGAGATATCTCAAGGTGAGCGGAAACATTGATATGCGGATCTCCGTAGCAAAAACAAACGACATCTCCCAGGTATCAAGATGGGCATAATTGTATACTTTATGTATAAGAATATAAGAAGAGGTTTTGCCCTTTCTGGCAATAAAACAGTTGTGTTAAGGTGTTCAAACACCAAACAAAAAATTCCTCTTGCTAGGAATCAAGTTTGCATTCACCGCACACATGTTTGTGGTGAACATGCAAAGAAAACCACGCTCTGGTGGTATACGATGGTGCATTGTCTTTGAAACTGATTGGTCCACACCAGAGACAGCTTTCTTTAGAGCCTAGTCTCAAAAAGGGTGAGACCAGAGGACGCCAAAAGGTGAACAGCACAGAGACAATGCCACCATACAGGTGTTAAGATGTTCAAACACCAAAACAAGATCCCTTTGGGGCCGTCCATAAATGACGTCACGCACCTAGGGCGGGGGGGGGGTCAGACATTTGTGACGATGTGTGACGAGGGGGTGGAGGGGGGGGTTTGAGATATGTGACGTCACATCAAAATGCGCAACTTTAAATAAATATAAACAACACGTTCTACTTCATTAAATATACTTTTTCATAAATGTTTTGTCCTACAACATCAAGAGTGCAGCGCCACATTACATACGCACTACAATTACAATAGTTTAAAGCGATTTGAAGCATGTGTTTTTTGGGGGTGGGGGGGGGACAGAGCTTTGTGACGTCATATTTAAGGGGGGGCTGACTTTTGGTGACGCCGTGTGACGAGGGGAGGGGGGGGGAAATCGTCCAAAATCGCGTGACATCATTTATGGACGGCCCCTTTTGCCAGGAATCATCTTACTGCATTAACCACACAGTATTTGTGGTGAACATGCAAACAACCCCACGGCTCTGGTAGTATATGGCGCATTGTCTTTGAAACCGGATGGCCTACACGAGAGAGACAGCCTCCTTCGTGGCCTAGTCTCACCACCAGTGTTAGACCAGAGAACAGCGCCGAAGGGCGAACAGCACAGAGGCAATGCGGAGCGTCAGATGACTTCTAGCTCGGGTTCACGAGCAGAGAGAGTGAGAGAGAGAGTTGTAGTCTGGCTCTACGGAAAACATTTGACAACTCGCCAACAGGACACACGACCTCACACCGGCGCATACGACTACAACAGGAACCGCCCTTCGCAAATAAGTGGCGGAGACGTCACCAACGGCGCTTGGTACCAGGCTAGGTGCACCTTGAGGCCACGCGAAGTGTCGAAAGGCTCGCTGCTGGCAGGAGGTCGCGGGACAGACCCTGCAGGTGCTATTACGGATTGACTGAGATGACTGCCAGATGCACCAACTGTGCTCCCCACTGTGCCACAAAGGCGAACAGCACAAAGACAATGGACTGTCAGGGCATGTATAGCTCGGGGTGAGAAGCTACTGTGGGGGCTACCGTCCCCCGCCATCACCGTATTGTCGGGACCACTGCTCTCCGACTCCCCCGTAACACTCGTCCCACTACCCCCCGGGCTGCTCTGTGGGGTCCGGGCTACCGACCCCCAATTGACGCAGTGGTCTGTGTTTACGCTCGCGGTGCGCTTTGCCGTTCAGAGGCGGCGTGCCGCTGTAAGCGCGCTCGCCAGTAAAATCTCCGTCCCGCCCGTAAACAAACAGGCGGCGGCGCGTGTTTCCCTCCCACCCGCGCTCCACGCGTTCCGATAATAACAAACACGCCCCCTACCCTCTGCCCAGCCCCGTACACCAATCGCACGCGAGGGGGTTGGAGCCGAGGGATGGGCGGGCGGGATTTTTGCCGTGCGCGCGCCGCTGATTGGAGAGGGTCGCTCAGCTCTGAGTGGACGGGCACCCGCTCAAACAGTCGCGCGAATGCGCGCGCGCTCGGCGCTTTAACTCGCTACTCCGCGATTAGACGATTGTGCGGGTGCGTGACCGCGACACAGCCACCCAGGTACGCGATCGCTAAGCACTGTCGTGAGCGATATCACGGGTACGCGAGCACTGGGCACCACCGAAAGTCGCCACGTATGCCCGTACGCGCCGCGCAGTACTGCACACAATTGCACGGGTGCGCGATCGCAACGCCGTCACACCGGTATGCGAGCGCTACGCGCTACTGTAAACAATCGTGCAGGCACGTAAACACCGCATGCTTCGTCTCGAGGTGAACAGCCGCGCATACACGTAGACATCCAGCACACTCTGCCCTCCACTTCACGCTCCCAAAAGACCACACAACACAGTTTTATCCCCCCACTAGCGATTTTACTTACCCCGAGTAACCAATTTTATCTACGTGTGATGGTATGGGTCAGTGGACGCTAGTCTATCCCTCGGAGGTCTTCGATTCAATTTCTCCTACCGATCGCCCCGCTCTCTACCCTGGATTTAAAACGCTTAAACTTACGCCTCTCTCCCTCGCACTTACTTCCACCTGATGAACTGACCGCTGTAAGGGGATGAGGTGGCGAGATGTCTCTGTAGAGGGGCGAGCCTGTCGGTGCTTGAGGGTCCAAGGAGTAATCCTCCAGGCAGTCGCCTGCTGGTCAAGCGGCTTCCGCAATCGTAAAGGAACCAACATTGTCACGCCGGGGGGAATCATTACGGTCCTACTCGCAACGGCTTGCACAGCAGCGTTGGCCATGCACAATCGAGTCGGAGAAGGCAAAAAGGCCATGCGACTGCCCGATGGTAACCCGAGGCAACCTTGATCAATTTCAATTTTCAGGGGCATCTCCCCCAGGAAGTCAATCCCGAGCAAGCAAGGAGCAACAAGGGACGTTGACACAAGAACGGGTCCCGTCAATTTGATATCTCCAATACAAACCTCTGGCGTTATCTTCCCAATGACAGGGTACTACATTTAGGGGGCAGAATGTAAAAAAATCAACGCGGAAATTATAGTCGCGGATGGACCGGGCATCGACGAGCAATCTAATTTCGACCCCCTCTATCATTCCGATAACAGCGGATGAACCCGCGGCCGTGGCAACCATCCTATGGGCCAACTCTGACCACTGACCCGGTCGGAGAGGCCACTCAGCCCAAGCAAAATCCGAAATCTCACACCCCGACACACGACGGCCGAACGCGATGCGTGAGGTGGATTCAGGGGCAGAGTGTGTGGTGTGTCGCGACTCGCCATGGGATATAGCGGAGTGGAGGACGGCCGGGCGGATGACGGCGGTGGTCCGGGGAGGCGTCGCCACGGCAACCCGATGAGACGTTTCCCGGCAGGCTGCAGTTGTAGCACACGACATGGACAAGGAGAGGTCTTCAGCCGTCGAAGTTGTTCATCTCGTCGCACCATGCCGCCCCCCCCCCCAGCCGCCAGCCTCCGCTTGGACGGCTTCCACGTCTTCGGGTGTATCGCGTGTCTCACGAGGCGCAGGACACGCTGCCAACCCCTTATGTCGTTGCAAAAACAGGTGCGCCTGGGTGCATCTTGCAACCTTGAGAGAAGACAAATCGTCTTCGTCGACGGCCGGCAGGACGATGTTGAGGTCCTTCGCCAGCGTCAGCAATCTTTCGTGGACCGGGGAGTCGATTCCGTCGTGGTCCATCTTCGGGAAGGCAGCCTTCGCCAACACCAACAGTGCACTGCGGAAGGCGAGGGGTGTCTCGGCCTCCCCCCTCCTCCACGCAGCGAACTTATGGCGAACATTTGACGGCGGTTCGTAGATTTCCGCCATTTGGGCGAATGCTTGATGAAGCGTGGCCCTCTCCGACGGCGGGTTGGTGCAAAACGCCGCCAAGGCATCGTCGCCAAGTCGCAGTTTGTCTGGAACCGGCGCTTGAAGGCCACCCAGTCGCCTCCCACGGGATGGAATCTCGACAGGCGAACTCGGCGCACTCTCAGACTTGCCGGGCCCTCCGCCCGGCTCCGCAAACAAAATGGCGGCCGCGTGCGCGGGCTGCTCCACGGAGCTTCCCCGCTGGCGGGAAACGGCGACGGGATGCTCGACCCCGCGCAGCTCCGGTGCTCTCTCCTTTACCGCTGGCTCTTCACTGTCGAGCTCAGCGACCATCGCGGCCTCGGCCTCGAGAAGTTCCGCGAGGCGGGTGCGTAACGTGCGGCGCTCTGTCCCTGACGGCGGTGGAGCCGTCGCGGAGACGGTCGTCGCGATGCTCCGCCGGCGTCGCCACACTCCCTTTCTCCGGGGGTCGCCATCCCCGGAGGTGTCTGAGGATTAACGCCTTCGCCGTCCTCGTCGTCCGACGCCGTCCTGGTATGTAGTCTGCGGCGCGTAAGCATAACCTAACCCGGCCTATCTTACTGACAAAAGAACGTGTGGCCACTTCCGACGCCAATTGTTGTGGGTTCAACTGAGTCGCAGACGTAAACTTGCAGGCAACACATTTATTCAGTTCCAACAGACGGGGTAATTTCCCCTTAACAGAATCACAACCTAAGGTGGTGACCACCAGGCTAACTACACTAGTTACTGTAAGAGCCATGAGACAGAAAGTGAGTGTATTATTTCTGCATATAGATTTGATGTACATCCGTCATGCATTTGTTGACGGACTGGTTATATTTGATTTGGAATATCCCAACTGTCTAGAAACCCCGCTGTGGTTAGACGCTCCGTTGGTTGAACCCATGACGTCACTTCCGGTTTTTACAGGATAAACGGGGGGGCTATGAGAAGAGCCGATGGGGAGCAAGTGGATACAGTCTTTTGAACGTGATACAGTGCATGCGACAGGGTAATACAGTAGGTGCAACGAAGTGACACAGTACGTGCGACGAAGTGATACAGTACGTGAACAGGCGAAGATATAACTTTAGAAAACGCTCGTTGTTGTGCAACTAAGAAATAAAGAAACAGTTTGATTTTAGACACCTCAAACACGCGTCAGACTTTTTGCTCCCACAACTTAAGGGCGTAGCTTATTTTCTGGTA